AATAACTAGTTCTATCTCTAAATTCCTGTCGGCCAAAAAAGTATGAGTAAAGAATACTTAAGTAGGCGAAAAATGCAAATTTGTCAGTCACATAGCTGATCGCTACAAAAATACTGTTTACAGTCAAGTGAATCAGACAGGGAAAATCGAACGAAATTATGTTACAAGTTCTCAGAAGAATAAAACGTTGCAACTTGAAAAGTGGCTGCTGTAAACTATAATGGCTTAATAGACTTTGTGGAACAGTTATTTAAGCAAAGTTGTTGTTGAAGAAATTGTGAAGTACACTTTCTGATGAGCAAACTGTTTGCCTTTTTTGAAGTAGACAATATTGATGACTTAAACTTCTCAATCTGCAAAATTTTACAAGCTCTAAAACTTTTAATAAACGCTTTTCTTGGTGCATTATTCTGTCCGCTCAGGTGACAATATTGTATTTTCTGTACAGATTTTTCAAAATTATTTCGAGTAAAATTGGTTCAGACAGAAATTAGCAAGCTGTATTTGATTCCCGCAAAATTTAAGATCATAGCTAGTATGTCAAAAACACACCGAGCTTTACACAAAAATAACAGAACAAACGCAGTCGACTTGTCGATGTCTATTTTTTTTTATTCATTGGTTTATTCATTGCTAATTCAATTCAAAAAAGAAAAACACTAAAAAACTATGCCATAGCTTTTGCTAGATATCTTACAGCATTAGCCCAAAGAAGATCCTGAAGAACTGTGTGTCTAAGCTAAGAAATTTAAGCTAATAACTGAATTAACCGCTATTTGGTTGGCTGGTTTGGGTCTCTCTTATCACAACAGTTAAATTTACACTATCGTAATGGACGTGGGCACTAATGATTAATATCTGATAAATTCAGATCGCTCATTTAGATGACAGTTTTGTAAGCGCCAATAAAATTTTCAAGAAACAAAGGGGTTCAAAGGTGCCAACGAAAAACAATAGAGTTTGAGGAGGAAAAAGCACAGCGTAGAGAAGTTATCACTTTTTAATAACTTAAAACTAGTGTCATCCATCCACGATGCAAAACTCTTACACTGTTCCATTTTGCAACAATGCTTACTATTTTTTTGACGTTTAAGACAAACCGAAAAAAAATGATTTTCTGGTTACAGACAGAGAGTAAATGCGGATAATTTGAAAAAAAAAAACATTCTTCAATAATAACAAACCCAGATTCCATTAAATTTCAAGGTACTTCAAAAACCACACAGGAATCCTGCGAAAAAAATAAAAAAGAAATATATAATTTATTCACTGCTAATTCAATTTAACATTCGCTAGAAACTTTGTAAAGCGTATTTTCTGTAGACCTTAGTGTTTTACAAATGTTTGGTGAACAGTTAGAGAGCTGTAAGTAAAACAGTGAGAGCAACACATCGTCGTCTAGTGCTGTCTAAGAAATAGCAAAAAGTTCTTTGAGTGCTAAAAAGAAATGTTGCAAAAATTTATATATTATTTGCTGCAGCGAAAAAAAGCATTAAAAGAAACTGTAAGAAAAAAATTTTTTGCATAAATCGCACTAATGTAGGCAAAAAGGAAGGGAAAAATTGAACAAGTAACATCACACGCCGTCGGTGCACTGAATACGAAAGCTCAGTTGTTCTACGTTATTTGTTGTCATTATACCGCTGCACGTACACATTTCCGCAGAGATGTATTTTACACAGGCACCCAAACACAGCTAAACCACTTTTTCCTTCAAATCCAAACTTTTCTAGATTAAAAACAACGCGTTCGTTCTACAGAATTTATCAGTACTGCCGGCTGGCTGAATACAACATTAACACGGCGGTTTCACAAGATTACGAACAATACATTTAGAGCGAAAGCGAGGGACTAGCCTTGAAACTAAAACCTCAACAATCTTTCAACCTATATTGTGACTAGAAACATCCTATGCAGTACGTTTGAGAAAAAAACAGGCTTGTTTATTAACAAAGAGAAAAAAAAATAGTCTAAGCGAGAAAAATTCTAGGAAACCAAGCTTTACTGACTAATGCCACAGTTTTCTACTGGACATCGTACACTACTGGTCCAAATAGGATGCTTGCCCGTTAAGATTTTGCAACCAGCGCTTAGATGCTAACGCGTTCCGTTTAAACAATTTTCTCTTGTCAGCCTCTCTTTTGAGGCCTAATTTTAATTACAAACTATACTCACTGAAAAAACTCATTGCTTACTTGTTTACTGGTTTCTAGATAACAGTATTTGTCGTTACTTGCATTAGTGGAACAGAAATGTTAACGAAAATATGTTTGTCTAGAGCAGTCTTCAGAAGTCCTGAGAATTAAAGGCTAGTTGAAATCAACAAGAAGAAAAATGGCAACAAAATTTATTCAGTGTACGTTCAGTGGCAAAACTAGTATATTCACTGTACAGCTAGTTTGGAAAAACAGCAGCCTTTAAAAAATTTGATGACATGTTGACAACTCATTATCTTAAACTGTGTTTCTCGAAGATTACAACAGATAATGCTAGGATTTTTTTGGGTAAATGTTCCTAAAAAAATTTGACTTTTTCGTTTGAATATTACGTGGATGTTTACTACAAAAAATGGCTTACACTGCTTTGGGTGCACAACACTGTGTCCTACAAAAACTTTAAATTTATGTTGAACATTCTGTTATTGCAGCGAGTTTGATGTTTGTTTGGATAGCTCTACTGTTTATTTAAGTTGTTTAAAAAATTAGAAAAAAAATTTCCAGACAAGTGCAGAATGTTAATAGCAGAAGCTTGAATGGCTTGTATACCGCTAGTTTAAGCCGTTTTTTAGGTACTTTTCTTGAGTTCTTTTATTTCAGAAGTTTTGTAGACAAGAAAAAGTCTATGGGGTTGTTGATGACTAACGCATGTTTTGTAATGAAATCAGTGTGTTTCACTGTACGGTTTTTTTTTTTTTT